TTTACGACCCCCAATTCCTACCCTCAGCAGCAGCCAGAGGTATGCACATGCCGCAGCAGGAATTACACCCCCTGTTGCTTTTAGTGGGTGCCAATCGCAACCGATTCAAGTAAATGGGGCCGCTCTGCAAGCGCCCCGCAAGTGCATGCTACTGCAGGATCCGAGGGGTTTAAAGCAGGCGGAGCGAGAGCAACACAAAGCTGTCCGCTTTAACCCCTCGCTTGCTATACTGCTCAAGGTCGCAGGGCATTTCACTTGGGTCCTACACCCACCAACTGTGACGGGGCGTATAACTCCTGCTGAGGCTGCGACATGTGTACCCCCTCCCCCCCTGGCCACTGCAGCTAAAGGGGGTACATACGGTTAGGACAGGGGTGGAAAACATGTCTCAACTATGGGGTTTTTACTACCCCCCCCCCCAAACTGCAAATGTAAATGAACCCTCACAGTTCTGAACCCCCTTCTTTCACATGGTTGTGCTGCGATTTACCTGCACCCCAGCTGCACCGCAGAGCATCTGCAACTTGCCTGACTCGGGTGCGGCTTGCATTAGACTTCTATTATATCCTGCAGGTGTGGCGCACCTTCTGCGAATCTCCCACATTCAGGAAGTGCGCCACGCCCGCAGGATATAATAGAGGTCTCCGACTAAGTGCAGCAAACCCAGCTGCAGGAACAGTGCACTGCACCTGGGGTGTGGGGAAACCGCAGCAGATCAGTGTGAAAGCAGCCCTGGACTATTATGCCCATGTATTGCTTCATACCGACCTGAAGATCTCTTCTTTCCTGCTGCTGGAACCACTCCGGACTGCTAGCCGGGATAAGAGGTGGGGTGCAGTCGGTGTCACTCCGCATGGGACAGGAGCCGGCGCTACAGAGGAGGCAGCGGCTTATGCGGTTCTCGCTCCCTACTGCACCTCCAATGTTACAAGTCGGGGCTCTGCGTTGCACTGTTTCAGCAATACATGCTCGTTACAGTGCAGCAAACGTCACCAATGCATGCTCGTTACAGTGCAGCAAACGTCACCAATGCATGCTCATTACAGTGCAGGAAACGTCACCAATGCATGCTCGTTACATTGCAGTATAGCATGCACAGTACATTGCAGAGTATTGCAGTATAGCATGCACAGTACATTGCAGAGTATTGCAGTATAGCATGCACAGTACATTGCAGAGTATTGCAGTATAGCATGCACAGTACATTGCAGAGTATTGCAGTATAGCATGCACAGTACATTGCAGAGTATTGCAGTATAGCATGCACAGTACATTGCAGAGTATTGCAGTATAGCTGATTATACACAAATCCATTTTTATTTCTTTGCAAATCACACAATTGGAATCAATTAGAAATTGGTGCAACTTCAACCAAGTCGGAACCGCACTGATAATTTGCGGCATGGCATACAGATTTGCAAGTCGCATGGAATACAAATCGTATGCCAAATTGCACTCGATGTGACCGAGGTGTACAGCATGCACAGTACATTGCAGAGTATTGCAGTAAAGCATGCATGTTACATTGCAGTGTAGTTGCGCAGTAGCACATGCAGTACCGTTACCACATTAGGTGTGAATGAGCCCTAATTGTTGAAGGTGCGACTGGTGTCATTGGCAGGATAAATGGTGTCATTGGCAGGGGTAGGATACATGGTGTCATTGGCAGGGGCAGGATACATGGTGTCATTGGCAGGGGCAGGATACATGGTGTCATTGGCAGAGGCAGGATACATGGTGTCATTGGCAGAGGCAGGATACATGGTGTCATTGGCAGGGGTAGGATACATGGTGTCATTGGCAGGATACATGGTGTCATTTGCACGGGCAGGATACACGGTGTCATTGGCAGGGGCAGGATACATGGTGTCATTGGCAGGGGCAGGATACATGGTGTCATTGGCAGGATACATGGTGTCTTTGGCAGGGGTAGGATACATGGTGTCATTGGCAGGATACATGGTGTCATTGGCAGGGGTAGGATACATGGTGTCATTGGCAGGATACATGGTGTCATTTGCACGGGCAGGATACATGGTGTCATTGGCAGAGGCAGGATACAGGGTGTCATTGGCAGGGGCAGGATACATGGTGTCATTGGCAGAGGCAGGATACATGGTGTCATTGGCAGGGGCAGGATACATGGTGTCATTGGCAGGGGCAGGATACATGGTGTCATTGGCAGGGGAAGGATACATGGTATCATTGGCAGGGGCAGGATACAGGGTGTCATTGGCAGGGGCAGGATACATGGTGTCATTGGCAGAGGCAGGATACAGGGTGTCATTGGCAGGGGCAGGATACAGGGTGTCATTGGCAGGGGCAGGATACATGGTGTCATTGGCAGAGGCAGGATACAGGGTGTCATTGGCAGGGGCAGGATACATGGCGTCATTGGCAGAGGCAGGATACAGGGTGTCATTGGCAGGGGCAGGATACATGGTGTCATTGGCAGGGGAAGGATACATGGTGTCATTGGCAGGGGCAGGATACATGGCGTCATTGGCAGAGGCAGGATACATGGTGTCATTGGCAGAGGCAGGATACATGGCGTCATTGGCAGGGGCAGGATACATGGTGTCATTGGCAGGGGCAGGATACAGGGTGTCATTGGCAGGGGCAGGATACATGGTGTCATTGGCAGGGGCAGGATACATGGCGTCATTGGCAGAGGCAGGATACATGGCGTCATTGGCAGAGGCAGGATACATGGTGTCATTGGCAGAGGCAGGATACATGGTGTCATTGGCAGGGGCAGGATACATGGTGTCATTGGCAGGGGCAGGATACATGGTGTCATTGGCAGGGGCAGGATACATGATGTCATTGGCAAAGGCAGGATACATGGTGTCATTGGCAGGGGCAGGATACATGGTGTCAATGGCAGGGACAGGATACATGGTGTCATTGGCAGGGGCAGGATACAGGGTGTCATTGTCATTGGCAGGGGCAGGATACATGGTGTCATTGGCAGGGGACAGAGTTATTTCAATCTTTCACATTTTTAATTGCTGATTTCATAAAATAATTGAAAAGAAAGCAAACATCCTTTATCGGTGTGTTGGGTGACACCGCGGGAGGCTTCAGACGCAACCCGATGAATCTCTGTTTTCACAATCTGAAGCCGCGTTTATTTTCTTTTATTTATGGATGACCTTCAATGGCGAAGATTCTGCGTGAAATTGCCGAATGACTAATAGCCGAGATAACGATCAGCCCGCGCTGTATTGCGGCTGAATGATGATGGGATCCGTAACCCGCGGCGATTTGGGAAAGTAGAAACATAAGACAGTCATCAGGGAAATGACACGGCGGTAATAGCGGCGGGCCGAATCGCCGCCATCGCTCGCTGCCTGACCGTTTTATTATTTAAATGTGAAGAAAATGAAAAAGATACTCCGAGATTTTAAACAAAACAGGAAAATGAGATCCGAAGGAGAATTGCAACCCGCCTGCCGATGGGTGGCGTTCAGAGCGCGCTCACTTTCCCGCAACCGCGCATTGAAGCAAAATAAAACCATCGGCAGTGCACCGCGCTTTACTGGATGATCGCTTCACTGCCAGAGCCTGGTCTGCGCACAAGTAGGTCTGAAGATTGCTTAACCCCTCCCCCTCCAGAGGATCCCTCTCCCCCCTCCGGAGGATTCCCCCCATCAGAGGATCCCTCTCCCCCCTCAGAGGATTCCCCCCATCAGAGGATCCCTCTCCCTCCCCCCTCCAGAGGATTCCCCCCCAGAGGATCCCTCTCCCCCCCTCCAGAGGATTCCCCCCCCCCCCCAGAGGATTCCTCCCCCTTCAGAGGATTCCCCTCCCCTTCCCCAGAGGATTCCCCCCCTTCAGAGGATTTCCCTCCCCCCTCAAAGGATTCCCCCCTCCCAATTCAGAGAATCCCCCTCTTCAGAGTATTTCTCCTCTCCCCAGAGGATCCCCCCCCCCCTTCCCGAGCGGGCCATTGCGCGTTTCTATTCTTTTCTATGGTGAGAAAAAACACTCAAAAAAAAATAAAAATAAAAAAATAAAATAAAAATCCCAGCAGTGAATAAATACCACCAAAATAAAGCTTTATATGTCTAAAAAAAAAAAAATGCTAAAAAATTCATTTGGGTACAGTGTTGCATGACCGCGCAATTGTCATTCAAAGTGTGATAGCACTGAAAGCTGAAAATTGGCCTGGACAGGAAGGGGGGGGGGGGGGGAAGTGTCCGGACTGGAAGGGGGGGAAAGTGTCCGGACTGGAAGGGGGGGGAGAAAGTGTCCGGACTGGAAGGGGGTGAAAGTGTCCGGACCGGAAGGGGGGGGAAAAGTGTCCGGACTGGAAGGGGGGGGGAAAGTGTCCGGACTGGAAGGGGGGGAAAGTGTCCGGACTGGAAGGGGGGGGGAAAGTGTCCGGACTGGAAGGGGGGGAAAAGTGTCCGGACTGGAAGGGGGGGAAAAGTGTCCGGACTGGAAGGGGGGAAAGTGTCCGGACTGGAAGGGGGGGAAAGTGTCCGGACTGGAAGGGGGGAAAGTGTCCGGACTGGAAGGGGGGGAAAGTGTCCGGACTGGAAGGGGGGGAAAGTGTCCGGACTGGAAGGGGGGGGAAGTGTCCGGACTGGAAGGGGGGGAAAGTGTCCGGACTGGAAGGGGGTGAAAGTGTCCGGACCGGAAGGGGGGGAAAGTGTCCGGACTGGAAGGGGGGGAAAGTGTCCGGACTGGAAGGGGGGGAAAGTGTCCGTCTGGAAGGGGGGGAAAGTGGAAGGGGGGGAAAGTGTCCGGATTGGAAGGGGGGGAAAGAGTCCGGACTGGAAGGGGGGGAAGTGTCCGGACTGGAAGGGGGGGAAAGTGTCCGGATTGGAAGGGGGGGAAAGTGTCCAGACTGGAAGGGGGGGAAAGTGTCCGGATTGGAAGGGGGGGGGAAAGTGTCCAGGACTGGAAGGGGGGGGAAAGTGTCCGGACTGGAAGGGGGGGGGAAAGTGTCCGGACTGGAAGGGGGGGAAAGTGTCCGGACTGGAAGGAGGTGAAAGTGTCCGGACTGGAAGGGGGGTGAAAGTGTCCGGACTGGAAGGGGGGGAAAGTGTCCGGACTGGAAGGAGGTGAAAGTGTCTGGACTGGAAGGGGGGGAAAGTGTCTGGATTGGAAGGGGGGGAAAGTGTCCAGACTGGAAGGGGGGGGGGAAAGTGTCCGGACTGGAAGGGGGGGAAAGCGTCCGGACTGGAAGGGGGGGGGAAAGCGTCCGGACTGGAAAGGAAGGGGGGGAAAGTGTCCGGACTGGAAGGGGGGGAAAGTGTCCGGACTGGAAGGGGGGGAAAGTGTCCGGACTGGAAGGGGGTGAAAGTGTCCGGATTGGAAGGGGGGAAGTGTCTGGACTGGAAGTGGTTAAGGGTTCCAGAAGCCGGGAGGCAGGGGGGGTTTTAGGGTCATGTGACCACCGTGATTTGCTGTCACGGCAGTCACGTGATCGGGAAAGTTCCCAATTGAAAGAGGAGATCGGGACCTTTCTGTGAGTGCCGGACGTGTGTGCTGGGAGTGTGCAGGGAGCGGGCAGGGAGCAGGCAGGGAGCGGGCAGGGAGTGTGCAGGGAGCGGGCAGGGAGTGTGCAGGGAGCGGGCAGGGAGTGTGCAGGGAGCAGGCAGGGAGCGGGCAGGGAGGGGCAGGGCGCGGGCAGGGAGTGTGCAGGGAGCGGGCAGGGAGGGCAGGGAGGGGCAGGGAGCAGGGAGGGAGGGGGCAGGAGGGGCAGGGCAGGACGCGGGCAGGACGCGGGCAGGGAGTGCGCTCTCAGCGCATATTTTTTTTTAATAGAACACAAATGTGCGGCCGCTCGGCGTCGAGGCCCAGAAGCTGGAATTCCGCACATTTGCGGTCGGCCGGCATGAAGAGGTTAATGAAGAAGGAAGCGGTGGACTCTGCGATGGACGTGGAGTAAGGTGATCCTCCCATGAATGTCTGGACCCAACCGTGACCTACGACGAGGAATCCTTCCAACCAGATGTATGGCGGAGAGCGTCCAATCATGGAGATAGATACGATGTAGCCTGCGGGTGACAACACGGCTCGGTTATTTCCTCTCCTTTATTGGCCGCCACACACAGAAGTGTCATTCGTGGTCCTTCACCTTTCATGGCCGCCATGTTTTATGGACGGTATTCGGGGAACTGACAGCTCCTTGCCGAGCCTCGCACTCTTGCTGAGTTTTTTTTTTTTTTTTTTCTCCTTCCCCCTCACTCCGGGATTTGGCACTTCATAAATACAACCAATAAACTGGGAGCAGAAAGGGGAAGTCAGCGACGGGTGGGGGTGGTATTCCATACATGGGTTGAAATTTGACCGATTTTTCATCCGAAAATTGAACCTATGAATAATCAGCCGATTTTTGCTCTGTTAGTGGGTCAATGACACCGGATGATCTTCACTCTGTTAGTGGGGTCAATGACACCGGATGATCTTCACTCTGTTAGTGGGGTCAATGGCACCGGCCGATCTTCACTCTGTTAGTGGGTCAATGGCACCGGCCGATCTTCACTCTGTTAGTGGGGTCACCGGATGATCTTCACTCTGTTAGGGCACCGGCCGATCTTCACTCTGTTAGTTGGGTCAATGGCACCGGACGATCTTCACTCTGTTAGTGGGGTCAATGACACCGGCCGATCTTCACTCTGTTAGTGGGTCAATGGCACCGGACGATCTTCACTCTGTTAGTGGGGTCAATGGCACCGGCCGATCTTCACTCTGTTAGTGGGGTCAATGACACCGGACGATCTTCGCTCTGTTAGTGGGGTCAATGACACCGGACGATCTTCGCTCTGTTAGTGGGGTCAATGGCACCGGACGATTTTTGTGGTTCCTCCCCCCTTTTCGGCGATCAGGCATGTTGGAAAATTCAGAAAAAAACAACCAATTTTGGACTCAATGATGGTCAAATCGTACGATTGTTTTTTCCGAAAAGAATACACGCATGAGCCGTGACCTGGAAGGAACAGAAGTTTCGCCTGTCATATGGGGTGAACTTTATGACTCAGTCGGCCGATTTTCAAAATCGGATTACTGAGCAAACGACGGTTTCAATTTTCGGACAAAAAAATCGTTCAGAATTGGAACCATTTATGGGCTGCATTAAGGCGACCATATGCGGGTCGAATTTTAAAATAATTTTCTTTTTTGAAAATCTTTTCTATGAATTTTCATTCGCACTTTGCGCTGTTAGCGGGGCCACAGCATCAGACGATTTTCAAGCGACCATCGAGTGATCGGGCATGTTAGAAATTTTTTGAAAAAAAAAAGAATTTTTAAGCAATTATGGGAGAATCGCGCAGGAAATGTAATTGAAAAAAAGAAATGAGCCAGCGAGCTGGAAAGAAAAGAAAATTATTTTCTGTAGCAACACAAGGTGAAAGGCTCGGTTGGTCGAATTTCAAAATCAATGTTGGCGCGGTTGGATTACAAAACGCACAAAATTTCCAATTTTCTAAAGAAAATTCGTTCGGAATTCGACCCGTGTATGGCCTGCATTGGAGGCAGTTGGAGATTCGTTCCAAAATATAACCAACAATCTGAGTTGGCAAGCAGACGCCATTGCTGGCTGGACACTCGGGGGAGAGGGGGGCTATTATTTGATCTCTGGAAGGTTCTACCTCCTTCATGACCAGGACATTGTTTGCTATTCGGCATCGTGCTACTTTAACTCACAATTGATCGATCATGCAACGTTGTACACAAATGAACTTTACAGAATTTTCTTCACACAAATTGAGCTTTTATTTATTTTGTTGCTAATATATAATTTTTATTTTTGCAAATTAATAATCTTCAAAAAATTCAGGAAAAAATGTATTCTGCAAATAACCCAAATCCCAGACTACGGGAGAGAGACTAGAAAAATCGACCAATCCTGATGTACTGATGGACAATCTCATTTCTTGGGGTCCTAAAATATCAGGAGGGTACAAATATCCTCCAAATGTCAGGACGATACAAATCCCCCCCAAATGTCAGGACGCTACAATCCCCCCAAATGTCAGGAGGGTACAAATCCCCCTCCCAAATGTCAGGAGGGTACAAATCCCCTCCCAAATGTCAGGAGGGTACAAATCTACCCCCCCAAATGTCAGGAGGGTACAAATCCCCCCCCAAATGTCAGGACGGTACAAATCCCCCCCCCAAATGTCAGGAGGGTACAAATCCCCCCCCCAAATGTCAGGACGGTACAAATCCCCCCCAAATGTCAGGAGGGTACAAATCCCCCCAAATGTCAGGACGGTACAATTCCCCCCAAATGTCAGGAGGGTACAAATCCCCCCAAATGTCAGGACGCTACAATCCCCCCCAAAATGTCAGGAGGGTACAAATCCCCCCCCCCCAAATGTCAGGAGAGTACAAATCCCCCCAAATGTCAGGACGGTACAAATCCCCCAAATGTCAGGCCGGTACAAATCCCCCCCCAAATGTCAGGAGGGTACAATCCCCCCCAAATGTCAGAACGGTACAAATCCCCCCCCAAATGTCAGGAGGGTACAAATCCCCCCAAATGTCAGGACGGGTACAATTCCCCCCAAATGTCAGGAGGGTAAAAATCCCCCCCAAATGTCAGGACGGTACAATTCCCCCAAATGTCAGGACGGTACAAATCCCCCCCAAATGTCAGGACGGTACAATTCCCCCCCAAATGTCAGGACGGTACAAATCCCCCTAAATATCAGGAGGGTACAAAATCCCCCCAAATGTCAGGAGGGTACAAATCCCCCCCAAATATCAGGAGGGTACAAATCCCCCCAAATGTCAGGAGGGTACAAATCCCCCCCAAATATCAGGAGGGTACAAATCTCCCCCAAATATCAGGAGGGTACAATTCCCCCCAAATGTCAGGAGGGTACAAATCCCCCCCCCAAATGTCAGGAGAGTACAAATCCCCCCCCCCAAATGTCAGGACGGTACAAATCCCCCAAATGTCAGGACGGTACAAATCCCCCCCCCCAAATGTCAGGAGGGTACAATTCCCCCCAAATGTCAGAACGGTACAAATCCCCCCCAAATGTCAGGACGGTACAAATCCCCCCAAATGTCAGGAGGGTACAAATCCCCCCAAATGTCAGGACGGTACAATTCCCCCCAAATGTCAGGAGGGTAAAAATCCCCCCAAATGTCAGGACAGGTACAATTCCCCCCAAATGTCAGGACGGTACAAATCCCCCCCAAATGTCAGGACGGTACAATTCCCCCCCAAATGTCAGGACGGTACAAATCCCCCCAAATATCAGGAGGGTAAAAATCCCCCCAAATGTCAGGAGGGTACAAATCCCCCCCAAATATCAGGAGGGTACAAATCCCCCCAAATGTCAGGAGGGTACAAATCCCCCCCAAATCCAAATCCCCCCAAATATCAGGAGGGTACAATTCCCCCCAAATGTCAGGAGGGTACAAATCCCCCCAAATGTCAGGAGGGTACAAATCCCCCCAAATGTCAGGAGGGTACAAATCCCCCCAAATGTCAGGAGGGTACAAATCCCCCCCAAATGGCAGGAGGGTACAAATGACCCCTTTTTGGAAAGTAGACAGCTTCCATAATTATCCATAAAAAATCTATTGCTCATAATTGTTACAGACGTGTCTGGGTTTGGCGGTGGCCAGGAGAACGGTACTTGTCCTGACTGCATTGTGCCAAGTGTAACGTTTGGTGGAGGGGGGATTATGGTGTGGGGTTGTTTTCAGGGGTTGGGCTTGGCCCCCTATTCCAGTGAAGGGAACTCTTAAGGCGACATTTTGGACAATTTCATGCCCCCAATCTTTGTGGGAGGGGTTTGGGGATGGCCTCTTCCTGTTCCAACATGACTGCCCACCAGTGCACAAAGCAAGGTCCATAAAGACATGGAGGAGCCAGTTTGGGGTGGAGGAACTTGACTGTCCTGCACAGAGTCCTGACCTCAAACCCCATAGAACACCTTTGGGATGAATTAGAGCGGAGACTGCGAGCCAGGCCTCCTCCCCCGACATCAGTGCCTGACCTGACAAATGTGCTTCTGGAAGAATGGTCCAACCTTCCCATAGACACCCTCCTAAACCTTGTGGACGGCCTTCCCAGAAGAGTTGAAGCTGTTATAGCTGCAAAGGGCGGGGCCAAATCAATTTGATCCCTACGGACTAAGACTGGGGGGGCCATTAAAGGTCATGTGTGTGGAAAGGGCGGGGCCAACTCAATATTGCACCCTACGGACTAAGACTGGGGGGCCATTAAAGGTCATGTGTGTGGAAAGGGCGGGGCCAACTCAATATTGAACCCTACGGACTAAGACTGGGGGGCCATTAAAGGTCATGTGCGTGGAAAGGGCGGGGACCAACTCAATATTGACCCTACGGACTAAGACTGGGGGGCCATTAAAGGTTATGTGCTGGAAAGGGCGGGGCAACTTATTGAAGGTCATAAGACTGGGGGGCCATTAAAGGTCATGTGCCAACTCCATAATATTGCACCCTACGGACTAAGACTGGGGGGGGCCATTAAAGGTCATGTGTGTGGAAAGGGCGGGGGCCAACTCAATATTGAACCCTACGGACTAAGACTGGGGGGCCATTAAAGGTCATGTGCGTGGAAAGGGCGGGGCCAACTCAATATTGAACCCTAACGGACTAAGACTGGGGGGCCATAAAGGTTATGTGCGTGGAAAGAGCGGGGCCAACTCAATATTGCACCCTACGGGACTAAGACTGGGGGGCCATTAAAGGTTACGTGCGTGGAAAGGGCGGGGCCAACTCAATATTGAACCCTACGGAACTAAGACCCATTAAAGGTCATGTGCGTGGGAAAGGGCGGGGCCAACTCAATATTGAACCCTACGGACTAAGACTGGGGGCCATTAAAGGTCATGTGTGTGGAAAGGGCGGGGCCAACTCAATATTGCACCCTACGGACTAAGACTGGGAGGCCATTAAAGGTCATGTGCGTGGAAAGGACGGGGCCAACTCCATATTGAACCCTACGGAATAAGACTGGGGGGCCATAAAAGGTCATGGTGTGGAAAGGGCGGGGCCAACTCAATATTGAACCCTACGGACTAAGACTGGGGGGTCATTAAAGGTCATGTGTGTGGAAAGGGCGGGGCCAACTCAATATTGAACCCTACGGACTAAGACTGGGGGGGTCATTAAAGGTCATGTGTGTGGGAAGGCCGGCGGCCCAACACTTGGGGCAATATAGTGTTTATGTCCCCAGAAAACACGTTCAGTTTATCTCCATGGGTGGTGACCAAGGCTTGGTTCCCACCTACAGATACAGCTGTGCGCGGCAGATTTGCGCACGTCATGTGTAGGACATTCATTTCAATGGGCTGAACTACCTGCGAGAAACACTGAAAGGATATTTCTGACTCTTTTACACAAATGTGCCGCAATGAACCGAATGGACTTTCCACTCTCATACCTCCTGTGCCCGCCTTGCCAACCCCATCCCCCACCATGGCTGGAATGGGCACCCTTTCATTGGGGAGGCCACCATAAAAGTGACATGTTGCTTTGACTTGAGCAGGTGAATCACTTTAAAGTTGAACGGCAGGATCAGCAAATATTGTCTGAATCCATCATTTGTGTTCTTCTGGAATCTCGGAGATCTCTGTGTATTCCTTTCAGATCTGTTCCGTCATCAGGGGTGAGACTTCCTGGACTAAAGACCACTCGCTGCTGCTCTCTCTGCTTGTACAGGGGGACTGGTCTTGTCTCCACCCCCCTTTAGTGGGTGGAGCCTGCTGGTCTCCTCCCACAGCTCTGCTCTCTGCACAGGCTGTGTACAGCACATCGATGACGTCACTGCTAAACCGCCGGGAAAACCGTTTTCCATGGAATTGCATATGGAGGCATTTAACCTTTTCAATTTGGATGGGGGAAGGGACTGGGATGGGGGGGGGCAGGGATGGGGGACTGGGACGAGGGGGGGCAGGGACGAGGGGGGGGGGCAGGGACGGGGGGGGGGGGGGCAGGGACGGGGGGGGGGGCGGGGGGGGTGAAATTGTTATCAGATCAATTCATACTGCATGAAGAAAGGTAGCAATGTTGTAACAATGTAGCGGAATGTCTTGAATGGAGATGTTCAGAACATAAGCGGAACATTCAGGGGCGGACTGACAACTCATGGGGCCCCCGGGCATTAGGGGATCATGGGGCCCTGTGTCCTTGCCCAAACTCAAAAAAGCCTATGAAAAAGGTACCAGGGGCATCTCATGGGGCCCCCTACTGACCCCGGCCCTCAGGCAGTGCCTGAGTTTCCAAATGGTCAGTCCGCCCCTAGGAACATTCCATTCCTTCTCCTATATTCGGCCCGCGGATGGCGGATGTTTCTTTTCCTCGATTGTTGACGATCGATCTGTCCGGCTCGGTCTGGATTCCGTCTCGAGCTCCGCCATGTATTTCAGACGGATATCTCTCGCTTGGTCTCCCCGGCTCTGACGCTCGCTCCATCAGTCTGTTATTTTTGGCGTTGATCGCACATTTGCCGTTTGAGATTTCGCTGTAACTTGGCTGGGGTTCAGCTCCTCCATCCCCGTCCTCGCTCCCTGGAAGAGGCCAGCGCCGCGCGTCCCGCGTCATTCTCTGATCAGACTTTCATACAGCAGATCCACAGCTTGGTGAGAATCTGGAATCGTGGAGCCGGTGGCATGATCAGTACTGTAGATCCGTGTATTCTCTTACCATCAGGCGGTAGCTGGCTTTTACACAACATATGGTGCCGATCAACGCAGTGTGCGTCACACGGGCAAACGTAGACGTTCTTAAAGGGAACCTGTCACTCATTTTATATTTGTGATAGTCAATGCCCCGCCCTAAGAACAGGTAATGCAGCCTACCAGCTATTACCTTGTGAAACTCTCCCTTTACTGAGCCTCTAAAACGAATTCATTCTACTCAAAGCTTCACATCTGAGATAAGCCAGACTCATCCGCCTTACCAACTGTGTCCTGCACCCTTCTATGCCAATCCCTCTACTGGCCACCATTCAGTGTCCTCCACTCTTCACTGCCAATCCCTCCACTGGCCTCCATTCAGTGTCCTTCACCCCCTCTCTGCCAAGCCCTCCACTGGCCTCCATTCAGTGTCCTCCACCCCTCTCTGCCAATCCCTCCACTGGCCTCCATTCAGTGTCCTCCACCTCTCTTTGCCAATCCCTTCACTGGCCTCCATTCAGTGTCCTCCACCCCTCTCTGCCGATCCCTCCACTGGCCTCTACTCAGTGTCCTCCACCCCTCTCTTCCAATCCCTCCACTGGCCTCCATTCAGTGTCCTCCACCCCACTTTGCCGATCCCTCATTGGCCTCCATTCAATGTCCTCCACCCCTCTCTGCCAATCCCTCCACTGGCCTCCATTCAGTGTCCTCCACCTCTCTCTGCCAATCCCTCCACTGGCCTCCATTCAGTGTCCTCCACCCCTCTCTGCCAATTCCTCCACTTCTCTTCGTTCCTCCCAAGACCTCCTGCTCTCTAACTCCCTTGTCACCTCCATGCTCACCTCCAGGACTTTTCCAGAGCCTCTCCCATCCTCTGGAACTCCCTTCTCCAATGTGTTCGACTATCTCCATCTCTGTCCACTTTTAGATGATCCCTGAAAACTCATCTCTTCAGAGAGGCCTATCCTGTCCCCCACCTAACAACTGTACATGTATTCTGTCCATCAGCCCATCCCCCACAGGTATTTACCTTTTGTATCTCTCAACCCTCCCTCTTAGATTGGAATTATGTTGTAAAGCATTGCGTTATTTAAATCACGTATAATATTAAGCCCCCCCACCCCAATACCTCATAGACTTTCTCAGTATTCACTCAGAATGCCCTTGTTAGGCAGGGATAAGGTGGGTAGTTGGTGCTGAAAGTGTTTTTTCACTTTTAGATAGGATAGGTAAGGGTTAAAACCCAACCACACTATAGGCCTGCAATCCCCATTACCTGCCTGTGGTTGTGATACAGCCTCGTTCACTTCAGTGGGTTGTGTTCGGCCAAATACATCGTGCCAATACATTCTCGAAGCAGCCGCAAAGAAATTCCCTGCTAGCACCACCTAAGAGTAACCTAAAGCCTATATCCAGGTTTACTATGACTATGTTTGGATCAAGTCTGAGAAGTCTTGTTACCCCACAGCTAATGGGAGCATCTAGGAGTCTGAGAAGACTTGTTACCCCACATCTAATGGGAGAGACTTGTTACCCCACATCTAATGGGAGCATCTAGGAGTCTGAGAAGACTTGTTACCCCACATCTAATGGAGCATCTAGGAGTCTGAGAAGACTTGTTACCCCACAGCTAATGGGAGCATCTAGGAGTCTGAGTCTGAGAAGACTTGTTACCCCACATCTAATGGGAGCATCTAGGAGTCTGAGAAGACTTGTTACTCTACATCTAATGGGAGCATCTAGGAGTCTGAGAAGACTTGTTACCCCACAACTAATGGGAGCATCTAGGTGTCTGAGAAGACTTGTTACCCTACATCTAATGGGAGCATCTAGGAGTCTGAGAAGACTTGTTACCCCACAACTAATGGGAGCATCTAGGTGTCTGAGAAGACTTGTTACCCTACATCTAATGGGAGCATCTAGGAGTCTGAGAAAAACTTTGTAAGCCTGCAGTTATGGGAGCATCTCAGAGTCTGAGAAGACTTGTAACCCTACTGCTAAAAGGGAGCATCTCAGAGTCTGAGAAGACTCATTACCCTACAGCTATTGGGAGCATCTAGGAGTCTGAGAAGACTTGTTACCCTACAGCTATTGGGAGCATCTAGGAGTCTGAGAAGACTTGTTACCCTACAGCTATTGGGAGCATCTAGGAGTCTGAGAAGACTTGTTACCCTACAGCTATTGGGAGCATCTAGGAGTCTGAGAAGACTTGTTACCCTACAGCTATTGGGAGCATCTAGGAGTCTGAGAAGACTTGTTACCCTACAGCTATTGGGAGCATCTAGGAGTCTGAGACTTGTTACCCTACAGCTATTGGGAGCATCTAGGAGTCTGAGAAGACTTGTTACCCTGCAGCTCCTGGGAGCATAGAAGATATTACAATATTTAGCAGCCGGTGACATTGCTTTACGGCTGCTTCGAAAATGTATTGGCACGATGTATTTGGCCGAACACAACCCATTGAAATGAATGAGGCTGTATCACAACCACAGGCAGGTAATGGGGATTGCAGGCCTAGAGTGTGGTTGGGTTTTAACCCTTACCTATCCTATCTAAAAGTGAAAAACCACTTTCAGCACCAACTGCCCACCCTATCCCTGCCTAACGAGGGCATTCTGAGTGAATACTGAGAAAGTCTTCTGAGGTATTGGGGTGGGGGGCTTATTATTATACAGGATTTATATAGCGCCGACAGTTGATGCAATCATCAAATAGCACATTATGCCATTTTGTTGCAGGAGGACCTTTTTATTTTTTTATTTTTTTAATATCGCTTTAACCACACAGCTAATGGAAGCATCTAGAGGTCTGAGAAGACTTGTTACCCTGCAGCTGATGGAAGCAGTGAAGAGTCTGAGAAGACTGTGCAGCAGATTGGGGAGTCTGGAAGGCCGCCTAACACTGCCTGTGGCAGAAGCTGCCTACCTATTATTTGGATGCCCCCACAGTGAGATCATCAGTATACAGTTGACAACACTAACAACAAACGTTATGTGAAGGTTCCAGCACCATCAATTCATCCCATAAAGGTGCATTGGTTGACCAAGAAGCAGAGTTGTCACCGTCATGTCTATACAGTGCGATAAAGGTGCGTACATTGCAAAAATGGCTGCCCCATCCTGTACATTCATCCATGTGCCTGGAGGCTCCCATTAGGTCACCCTGATAACGAGTGAGATGGATATTTGACACACTCCCCATATAACCTCTGAGCCAAGAGCTGTTACATGACACCATTCAAGTGTGCCAGTTTGATAACTTTATCTGCAAATATTTCTTTGTTCATCCCTTCTGGCAATCATTTGTTGTCTGTCATTTTTCACCCGACAATTAAAATATGATTATTGCTAAAGTATGTTGGCTCGAAGATAACCAAACAAAGATGGCTTTCTAATGTTTTTTACCTTCTTAATACATTCATTTATAACTGTCCATGTTGATTCGGCTCAAAATGTTCAGCTGGCTTTTTAGGATTCTATATTATAAGGCTTTGCGGTTTACTAATAAAGTCTCCACTTTTGCAGTCAAATCTTAGAAACATTCACTATTATAGACGCTATATGGCCAAAAGTATTGACCCCGCCTCCTCCCAATCATGTGATTCAGGTGTTCCAATCCCCTCCTGATCATGTGATTCAGGTGTTCCAATCCCCTCCTGATCATGTGATTCAGGTGTTCCAATCCCCTCCCAATCATGTGATTCAGGTGTTCCAATCCCCTCCTGATCATGTGATTCAGGTGTTCCAATCCCCTCCCAATCATGTGATTCAGATGTTCCAATCCCCTCCTGATCATGTGATTCAGGTGTTCAAATCCCCTCCCAGTCATGGGCTTCTACAAACATTGGTGAAAGAATGGGTCGCTCTCAGGAGCTCAGTGACTCCAAGAGCGGGTCCCGTGATAGGTGGTCACCTGTGCAATAAGTCCATCCGTGACATTCCTGGCCCCTTCCCAGTCCGGACAACTTTCCCCCCCTCTTCCAGTCTGGACACTTTCCCCCCCTCTTCCAGTCTGGACACTTTCACACCCCTTCCAGTCTGGACATTTTCATCACCCCCTTCCAGTCCGGACACTTTCCCCCCCCCTTCCAGTCCCGACACTTTCGCCCCTTCCAGTCCGTGACACTTTCCCCCCTTCCAGTCCGGACACTTTTCCCCCCCTTCCAGTCTGGACACTTTTCTCCCCACCTTCCAGTCCGGACACTTTCCCCCCCTTCCAGTCCGGACACTTCCCCCCCCCCCCCCTTCCAGTCCGGACACTTTCCCCCCTCTTCCAGTTTCGGACACTTTCACCCCCTTCCAGTCCGAACACTTTCCCACCCTTCCAGTCCCGGACACTTTCCCCCCCCCTTTCCAGTCCGGACACTTCCCACCCCTTCCATTCCGGACACTTTCCTCCCTTCCAGTCCGGACACTTTCCCCCCTTCCAGTCCGAACACTTTCCCCCCCCTTCCAGTCCGGACACTTTCCCCTCTTCCAGTCCGGACACTTTCCCCCCCTTCCAGTCCGGACACTTCCCACCCCTTCCATCCGGACACTTTCCCCCCCTTCCAGTCCGGAAACTTTCCCCCCTTCCAGTCCGGACACTTTCCCCCCCCCTTCCAGTCCAAACACTTTCCCCCCTTCCAGTCCGGACACTTTCCCCCCCTTCCAGTCCGGACACTTTTCCCCCCCTTCCAGTCCAGACACTTTCCCTGCCCCTTCCATTCAGTCCGGACACTTTCCCACCTTCCAGTGCGACATTTTCCCCCCCCTTCCAGTCCGGACACTTTCCCCCCTTCCAGTCCGGGCACTTTCCCCCCCCCCCTTCTAGTCCGGACACTTTCCCCCTCTTCTAGTCCGGACACTTTCCCCTCCTTCCAGTCCGGACACTTTCCCCCCCTTCCAGTCCGGACACTTTCACCCCCTTCCAGTCCAGACACTTTCCCCTCCTTCCAGTCCGGACACTTTCCCCCCCTTCCAGTCCGGACACTTTCACCCCCTTCCAGTCCGGACACTTTCCCCTCCTTCCAGTCCGGACACTTTCCCCTCCTTCCAGTCCGGACACTTTCCCCCCCTTCCAGTCCGGACACTTTCACCCCCTTCCAGTCCGGACACTTTCCCCTCCTTCCCAGTCCGGACACTTTCCCCCCCCCCCCTTCCAGTCCGGACACTTTCACCCCCTTCCAGTCCGGACACTTTCCCCCCTTCCAGTCCCGGACACTTTCCCCCCCTTCCTGTCCAGGTCAATTTTCATTTTCAGCGCTATCACACTTTGAATGACAATTGCGCGGTCATGCAACACTGTACCCATATTAATTTTTTAGCATTTTTTGAGACAGATAAAACTTTATTTTTTGGTGGTATTTATTCATTTATTTATTTTTATTTTTTTTTGCTGTATGAATGAAAAAGTCTAAAAATGTTGAAAAAAAGTGTTTTTCAAAAAAAAATTGCAAATAAATAGTCTTTCTTCATAAATCTTGGCCATAATGTATTCAGTTATCTTTTCAGTAAAAAAAAAAAAAAATAACCCAAATTAATTTATAACCAAAAATTATAATTAAAAAAAAAAAATTTACATTTTTATTTTATTTTATTTTATTTGTATTATTTATTTATTTTTTTACATACTGTCACCCTAGCAGTAGTGTTACCATGGTGACACTGTACTACTTGTGGGGGGTGTTGAAGGTTTTTTTTTTTACACTGATTGCTTTTACACCCATAAAGGCTGTAAAATCAATCATTTCTCTCCTTCTCTCTGGCTGCATTCCTGCAGCCATTGAGAAATACTGTGAGAGCTGTGATTGGTCACAGCTTGTCACATGGTACAAGGCTGTTGTTAATGGTCCTGTATCATGTGATCTCTGTGATCATTCACAGATTTCACAAGTAGTAAGCAATATTGTCAGAAGTGACATCTTGCTTACTACTCTTCATGTGATCACGGATTGGCCAATCAGTGATCACATGATCGGGACCACGCACAGAGGTCCCGTATGATGATCGGTGTTCCACTGCGTCCGGAAGACACAGCGGGCACCGGATCGCAGTGCTGCGTGCTCCCCAGGGAGCGCGCACAAGCAGGGGGCGGGGATGCTGTTTATAAACGTCCACCTGACCCTGCACTGCCACCCTCTGGTCGTTTATATACATAGGTCGGACGGGAAGTGGTTAAGACCTTAAGAAACTTAAAAAACAATTGAGTCCTGTCCGTGATACTTTTTTTTATTTGCACTAACATACATTTTTCAGTCCAAGCAATACAATGAAATTACGGCACCAAGCCAACTCGCATGCCGTGCGCCATAGATAGTCAAGGCATTGAAGACGTCAATCAGGGAAAATCCAGCAGCAGTATCTAATTGGTATCTGCCAAATGGTGTCCTTCCAAAAATCAAAGAATAGCACCATGTCAGTCTGAAGATGGCAGATGTACCGAACTTGTACCTATCTATCAGGGCACGGGTGTCAAACTGGCGGGCCTCCAGCTTTTGCCAAACTACAAGTCCCATGAAGCACTGCAAGATTGACAGTTACAAGCATGACTCCCAAAGGTAGAGGCATGATGGGACTTGTATTTTCGCAACAGCTGGAGGGCCGCCAGTTTGACACCCCTGTATTAGGGAGATCCGCACTGCTGTGTCTGCCCAACCTCTAAACACTAAAATGCGAAATGGGGTCGGGCAGTCCTATGGATCCTAAAATATATCCCTTTATATAATTCTAGCATGGCAGCCAACGAGTTTAGAGTAAGTAGAATATCTGCTGTTGACAGCATAGTACAATGTAGGGAAGAAGTCCATCTTGGAAGGAAGCTCTTTGCACCCATCAGTCCTCATCAGGATGGGTGTCCCAGTCAGGGGTCAGGCTTCCAGACCAGTAGCTATAGCAGTAGAGAGGCTTCCACCGACCACCAGCTAGATAAGTACACAAGCAGGTCACCTCATTGGATGACATGGGCTCACTGGAGCCAGAACTCCTGATGGTGGAGATGGGCTTTTTCTGCATGTTAGTCCCAGGTCATGGCTCACCAGGATCGCCCCACCAAGAGGTGAGCAAGCTGGGGTCCAATAGTAGATATAGCAGGTAGGGATCAAGCAGAAACATAGTCAGTAGACAAGCCAAAGGCTGGTAACGGGTGGTTGCAGGTTGGGATCAAGTGGAAGCGTAGTCGAGGAACAAGCCAAGGTTCAGTAATGAGTGGTAATGAAGATAAGGACAACTGCAGGTATGCTAAGCAGCAAGATTTGGGCTGGAGGAAGCACAATAATTTGGCAAATAAGTTCAGAGAAATGGTTTGTGACAGGAGTGACTTTGGGTGGGGGGCACGGCTCACTTTGGAGGGGTGGGAGACCCCCTGTCTCAGCTCCCCATATCCCTATTATGTGTAAGTCACCCTGTGCCTGCTAGGGGAACAGGGTGAAATGTTCTATATTGGTGTGGGTGTTGTTCATTGTTTACTGCCACGTGGTGCATATTCCATTGTTCTATTGTGTGTCTTGCTTGGGAGCAAACTATTATGGGATGTATGTATTTGTGTATTGGCTTGGTGGGGGGTGTTTCCGGCAGCCCTTCCCCTGATGGGACTGCCTGCTGATGTGTTTTCCTGTTACTGGGTGTGTATTGCCCCGCCTGTGTATATATCTTGTATCTATGTTAAAATATAGCAGTATATTTCCGGGTTTCCTGCAAGTCTGGTGCTGTCTCCCTCTTGTATGGTCAGCGGGTGGTGTCCGTGGGGATCTGTGTTCGGACAGGGAAGCGGGAGTTTAACGGAAATACCCTTGTGTAGTCGGGGTCCGGTTCCATTACATGGTTTAACCAGGAAGTTTATGGGAGGAGCAAAGAGTTCAAGGTTCACCAGAAACAAGAGATAAGGCAAGATTATCCTCGGGTTCAGACAAGCTGCTGCCCAGCATCTCAGGTGGCTTAGCAAGGAGAGCCAGCAGAGGTCATGGGTTCTGATCCTGGCCCTAACGCAGGGTGTGAGACTAAAATTCATGGCCTAGATCAGATATCAACCTCCAGTAACAGAGGGGGCCATGATCTGAGGGCCTTTTACATTGGTCAACCAGGGTTTGGTGAATGTTTTAGAGGACAGGCTTTTCCATTGCATATAATTTTACGTTTGGGAAGATATAGTAGTTGGTGATAAGAATAATAAACCTCAGCAATGGAGGGAGAAGAACATTTTTTCCAACACAGAAAGCATTCTTTTTTGAGTATTAGAAGACTTGAAAGTGTTGGGTAGTCCGAGCAGACAAACCTCCGGGACCTTATGAAAGCCAAGGTTGGTAACCATAAAATCCCATAGGTGGGCCAAGCAGAAAGCGTTTCACCGGCGGGTGATTACAATGACCCGGACCAGGGGCGGACTGACCATTCGAGCAATCGGGCACTGCCCGAGGGCCGGGGTCAGTAGGGGGCCCCATGAGATGCCCCTGGTACCTTTCATTGGCTTTTTCATAGGCTTTTCTGGGTGTGGGCGAGGACACAGGGGCCCCATGATCCCCTATTGCCCGGGGGCCCCATGAGTTGTCAGTCCACCCCTGATCCGGACCCTCCCTGTCAGAACCAGACTGCACTATTACAGCTATTTCTTCGGAGCAACAAAAGGGAGGAATCTGCTATAAAGTTTGTTCAAATCCCCGCAATGTACAGAGATCACCCGGGAGGGGGGGGGAGGGGATTTTTTTTTCTCTCCACAAAATTGGCGTTATTCTCTAAGCATTTCTAAAGTATAAGACTTGACTCCAAATACATTATGCATGCAGTTGTGTGGGGAAATGTGTGCCGCTCGGGATAATGAGATTTCCTCGATTCTCTAAGTGAGAAGTTCACGCCGTCTGCTGGAACAAATGAAAACACGATGTTTCTGTAACAATATCTAATGATTTTATTATCAGTTACTGAAAATCTGTAGAGAGGTGTCACACATGGATGGCATGGAAGGAAAACGAATCCTGAGATAGAGGATCTTAAAAAAAAAAACCATGGTTGGGGGGGGGGGGGGGGGGACTAAATATGAAATGATAGAGTGCCCAGGCCTCTGCTCATGCTGCAGATTTATATGACGGCCATCATGCATTGTATTATGTAGAGGTAGGTTATGTTTGAACCCTCTTTCAGCACATCCACAATGGTCCTCACAGCAAGTGCAATGGGTCATAGCCTTCTAATTTCTGGCTCCATCAGCCTGTCCCACCACCGTACCCCCCCAGTTTTTGCTGCAGCTTATACAGGCACTGTCTTCTCCAACCTGGCAGCTCACCTCCCCCTACCTGACCTCTTCTGTTGGACAAGAGGACTACATCTGTAGTTACAGATGACAGCTGCTCATGGAAACATCACTCCCTACTGTGCCATCACCAGCCCCCCTCCCCCCACCACCATGCCAGCGCCAGCCCCCTCACCACCACACTATTCCAGTGCCAGGTCCCCACCACCACCATGCCAGTTCCAGGCTCCCTTCACCACCACACCATGCCAGCGCCAGCCCCCTCACTACCACCGTGCCAGTGCCAGGTCCCTTCACCACCACCATGCCAGTTCCAGGCTTCCTTCACCACCACCATGCCAGCGCCAGCCCCTCACCACCACCATGCCATGTGCCAGACCCTCTCACCCACCACCATGCCAGCGCCAGCCCCCTCACCCACCACCATGCCAGTGCCAGGCCCCCTCACCACCACCATGCCACCACCCACCAGTTCCAGGCCCCCTCACCACCACCATGCCAGTGCCAGCCCCCTTCACCACCACCATGCCAGAGCCAGCCCCTCACCACCATGACAGTGCCAGGCCCCTTCACCACCACCATGCCAGTTCCAGGCCCCTTCACCACCACCATGCAAGTGCCAGCCCCCTCACCACCACCATGCCAGTTCCAGGCCCCCTTACCACCTCCACCAAGCCAGTGCCAGCCCCCTTCACCACCCACCATGCAAGTTCCAGCCCCCCCTTCACCACCACCATGCCAGTGCCTGCCCCCTCACCACCACCACCATGCCAGCACCAGCCCCCTCACCACCACCATGCCAGTGCCAGCCCCCTCACCACCACCATACCAGAGCCAGCCCCCTTCACCACCACCATGTCAGCATCAGCTCACTCACCATGACCATGCCAGTGCCAGGCCCCCTTTACCACCACCATGCAAGTGCCAGCCCCCTTCACCACCACCACCATGCCAGTGCCAGCCCCCATCCCCTCCACCATACCAGTGCCAGCCCCCTTCACCACCTCCTTGCCAGTGACAGCCCCTTCACCACCACCATGCCAGGGCCAGCCCCACTCCCCACCACCATGCCAGTATCAACTAGTCCTGACCTCGGCCTTACTCCTGACCACGCTTTTGCCTATGCTTCAGTACCTTATTGCCCGCCTCCTACTTACCTCAGCTACCCCTGTGACCTCGTTCCTACTTCTGACTTGGCTCCATACTAGTTCTGAGTGTCTGCTTCAGGTGTCCTTCATAAACCGCTCTAGTCATCACAGTGTGTTCCTGCCTATAGCTTGCTGAGAACTGCGACAAGCCAGGCTTCCAGAACCTGCAGTACACGCAGAGTTCCCCTTTAACCTCGGCTGGTCCAGCGTGCATCACATCTCCTTCTGACCCGATGTCCTGCCTGACTTCTCAAGCCTGCACCTCCAGCTGCAAGTTCTGCTATCAACACCTGCCGGCACTCGTGTTCCTCCTCTCCTTTGGCACCATCTATTCCACCTTCAGTGGGGCCTGGGCTGGAGATACAAGAGAGGCTAACCTGGTCAATTCAGTCTTCTACCAGGTCCATGACACCCACCACCACCACCATACCAGCACCAGCCTCCCTCACCACCAACATACCAGTTGCATCCCCTCACCACCACCATGCCAGCACCAGTTCCCACCCTCAACTTCCCACCAGTACCACATCTGAAACCTCATCACCCCTCCTCCACACCCCCACAACTGACCTCCATCTTCCACCTCCTGCGCCATGCCTGCACACCAA